ATAAATTTCTTGTCCGATTCATCGATTTTTAAAATAATCGTTAGTTGCAGCCCTACAGCTAACCCAACACCAGCTGAACATTGAGCAGGTCTTGAATCACTGAGCGGTTTTGCTTGCTATGTATGCAGTCAGTGCATATGTTAACCTGTACCACCTGAAGGTGTTCACCTAAGCATCCTCAAAGCTTGCTTACAGCTCAAGCTTGCTCTGCTTAGATCAACACACAGCAGCGCAAACTCGTTTGTAATCACATCACTGAAGTACTAGTGATTCACTTTTCCTGGATATCGGTCAGATTCCCCTGAAGTTCAGCGAAATTTGATGGAACAGCTTCTGGATTTATGTCTAAAACTGGATCAAAACTCTTTAAACACATGAGTTTGTTTTTGGTCTGGGACTTAGCACACACAACCCATGTATGGAGGCCTTTGTCCTTGATGCAAACGGCCCAGGTTCGAGTCTGGCCTGTGGTCCTTTGCCGCATGTCTCATGCCCTCTTTCCTGTCAGCCTACTGTCCAAAAGAATGAGCAACTAGTGCCATATTCTCCTCCCCTCCAAAAAGAAGTGTGTTTTGGTCTTAACATTTAGGGTGGTCGACCTGCTGCAAGGTCTACGCCACAATTTAAAGTATTTTATAGCCTTATATTGTAAGGCAAGTTTATTCTATAGCAGATTTTAGAGGCAAAGTAATTTAAAGAGCTGTAGGGTTGCAACAAATTAAATCAATAAAAAAAACATTTGCTTCATGTTCGCAATAATGAGCTAATTATTGTTGGTTTATCACATACAATCCAAATAAAACAAACCGAAGCATGTGGTTGGAATTTTAGAAAATGGTGAGAAATGTTCAGGCTACTGTAGCAAAGAACTGTTAGGACTAGAATAAGAGAAGAAAATGGTTGCTTACATCTGCCACCATGTCAATCAGACTCTTGTTGCAGTTGTCAAAGCGAGTCTTCCATGAATGGCACTCTTTCTCCAACTTCCTCATTTTCTTGGCCATCTGAACAGCAAAAAAACAGGTAATGCACAACACTTCCTTCTTTTCTAAAAGGATATTTCTTCTTCTGTTCCCGTTGTCACCAATTTCACAATATAACATTTTTAAAAAGCCATCCTTACTTTGTCCATGTCCTGTTTGAAGCCGCTGTAGACACTGCTGCTCTTTGACACCGTACCTTGGAACTCATCAAACTTTTTGGAGTACATGTCAAGCTGGGTAGAAATAAGGAAGAAAACATGAAGAAAACGTCCCCTAAAGGTAAAATAAAACAAGCCAGAGATGCCTGTTACAGCCTTGTGTCCTACCTGAGTCCTCATGTCCGTTTCTTGCTCCTTCAGGCTGCTTAGCTGCAGCTTATACTCTGCCACTTGTTTGAGCAGCTGTTGGTAACGATATGCTTCATGTAAACAGGTATTGACTAATGCTATCATCCAAATATTGGAGGGTACAACAAATGTGACGTACAAGTTCTTTCTCCAGCTTGTGCTTCCCCTCGGTCTCCTTCAGGATTAGGTTCGCCTGCTCCAGCTTGGTTTCCAGCAGTTTCTCCTTCAGGTCTCTGTGCTTGAAAACCTTTTCCAGGTTCTGTTCGACATTTAAGGGGATTTATGAGTCGCTTTCAGACAGGCAGGAATTTCATTTTTTCGCTCAAAGAGAATTGGCTGAACTACTGTGTCTAACAAAAATAAGACCAGGGAGAAAATTGCAAATAACGTGTGATCACAGGTGCGTGTGGTTTTCATAAGCACCGTGCATCAGATGAACTTAAACTCTAATCTATCTGGTGCAGAGAAAGAGAAAATGTTCAATGCTTCAGTGTATCTGCTCTTTAAATGTGTGTGTCTGTGTGGTTTGCTCCATACCGCCTCTCGCTGGTCGTATTGTGTAATGAGGGACTTGAGTTTTTCTGCCAGAGCGCTGTTCTCCTGACACAGCTTGGTGTTTCTGCTGCTGTGCTCCTCTATCTGGGCTTGAATGTCGGTCAGAGTCCCCTGGAAATGGGTGGTGATCTCTTTCCTCTTTAAGTCGTCTTCTCTGCACCTCTGCAGCGTCTCCTCCTGCAAGTCAGGGATGAGTGTGAGAACCAGACACTGCATGCCCCATCGTTACCTCTGATTGGAAAGTGTCTTGCACAAATGTCTAAAAATGAACTGAGATAATTAATAATCTAATAAACAATTAATTTAAACACTATCTCAGATTTTTCAAACCTAATAATGTAATAAAGTTGTAATATACCGTTTCCCTGGATAATAAAAAAAAATCCCATTAATAGTGTCCTGCAAGTGATAAAGAATGTGGCAATGATTTAAATTATTGTCTAAACTACTGTTTAGTTTTCTCCAAAAAATATTTATTCCTCTTGAACGCTTCCATGTTTTAAACACCTTCACCTTTCACTTTATTTTAATAGTTTTTTTTTTTTTATTAAATTCTTTTTAAGAAAGACAAATCAAAGGTAACTATGAGGTGATGGGAAACTGGTGAACGACTTTCAAGCCTTCTGAAAAAGAACCTGTGCATCTAAGCTGCTAAGCATACCACTACAAAAACATTTAATCTAAGTAACTGAGTCACTCTGACAATGAAACAAGAAAATATACATTTGAAATAATAAGGAAAAACTGCATTGTTATATTTCAAGTCCATAATATCTAATCATCATTTTTAAGTGTAAAAATCCTTATTCCATTGGTAGATCATCTTATTAACCTGCTCAAATTAAGGGTTCACACACTTATTTTAAGAAATTTCTACTTATTTCTAAATAGTTTTTGCAGTGGCATTATTCAGAGTATCAGCTAAGAAGACAATGGAGGAGCTGTAAAGGTTTACAGCTCAGGTGAGAGAATGTGTCGACATGAATACTATGAGCTGTGTACCTGAGAGATCTGAGGTCAAATTCAAAGTGTGGCACAAGGCATGTGGAAGGAACAATACGATAAAACCTAAGCAAACCAGAGTCGACTTAAAGTCCAGACCTAAATCCAATTTAATATAAGCTCTCCATGTTTGAAAATAAATGTAGAAATGTCAGTATTCCTCAAAAGACTTCCAGCTGTAGGTACTGTAAAGAAGGCAGCCACTCTGCATAGTATTAAATGACGGTTAGAAATACACACAATTTAGATTTTTGCTCCTTAAAGGTTTCAGAAAAGACTTGTATTGTTTCATAACATTGAAATATGCCCAACTGGGAAAGCAAGCAATTACCTTGCAAATCTCAAGTTTTGTGATGTTTTCAAATGCAGGAATCCACCAGCCCCTCCAACGAGAAGCTAAGATTTCACACCTTGATAGTTTTAAGTTTTAATGTCTCCACCAATGAAATCACGGAAGTACCTTTAAGGTCTTGTTGTGTCTCTGTAGCTCCCTGCAGAGCGACTCCAGTTTGCTGCGAGCCAGCACTGCCCGACTGTGTTCGCTCTGCAGCTGGTCCTTCTCCTTCATCACTTGAAGCAGCTTCTTTTGCAGAGTCTTCATTTGCTTCTGGTCACTTCGATGCTCCTCCAGCTGCAGAAACACAAAAACACAAACAAACCCACATTAGCCGTGTGTCTTTCTCCATGAAATCAATCTGCGTTACAGAACTTTGATTTTCCTATTACTCACCAGCTCTGCGTGCTTCTTAATGATAGTTTCCAGTTTCTTCTCTGGAGTGTCCAGTTTGTTCAGACTTTGCATTAACAGCATGGCCTCCTTGCCTGAGCATTGAAAACCATCCATCAGTCTCTACAATGTGTAAAGATATGGCTCTATAAAATACCCAAACTATAAAAGTATAAAAGGAAATACTATTAAATGGTGGCTGCACTTACACACCTATCAGTTTCAATACAACTAAGCCCTTTTGCTGACTGAGCTGAATAAGAACCACTGGACCTTCAAAAAATCAATGGAACATGCAGAAAAGAAGAAGAAAAAGACCTAGATTTTTGAGCATTTTCTTCTCCAGTTTCTGGTCCTTGCGGGCATCTGGCTCTTTGGCAGCTGTGACCTCCTCTACGTCCTCTGGCTCAGCTGGAGTCTGGGCAGCTTGGTAAGTGCTAATGATGTCCTCCAGCTGTTGGGCCAGGTCCTCTGTCAGGTCAATGTGGCGATCCTGGGCCGGAGATGCTCCAGGTCCATGGGGGGCAGGACCGCTCTGCTGACAGGCCTCCATAATTCTGAACGAGTCCCTAAACAAGGGAATAAAGCGGCTCTGTAATGTAGGGCAAGAATAAATGCATTATGTTCTAAAGCATGGGGGCTATTATAGGCTGATCGCATTCCTACAGAGCAGTGGAGAGTAAAATGTGTTAAAAGTAGATAAGGCTGGTTGCTGCTAAACAAGCTATCATATACATATTCTATTTCAAATATTCTCTTTTATTATTCTCTATTTTTTAAAATTAATCTGTTTTTAGTACACAATATTTCTTAATGAAGAAATATTAACTTATCGTTTATTTAAAATTTTTGTTCTATGTGATATATTTGGTTTATTGGGGCCAGTAAAGAAATAACAAATGGTCCAATAGTAGAAGAATGCTTCATAGAATCTAGAGCTGCAGCGTTCCCACCTGCACCAAACAAATGGTCGAAGTTTACAATGTTTAGTGCTCAGATATAAATGTCGTCAGAAGCCTCCTTGTGAAGCAGGTTAGCTGAGGCTAGCTTAGTCTAGGACTCAAAGTTTGACCAAAGAAATGGTCGTATTGTTTAAGAGGCTGACTATGAGACTATGAGTTTATACAAACACCAGCTTACTGAATTCTTCTTTTAAACCCCCCATGCCGTCAAGACAAGCATTACAACTGCAATTGGACGTTTTCCATTTCTGATATTGTTGCTCACTGACTCTGCAATTTCTTGGATTTCTGTCTGCTGTGCGGTCGAGTGCTGCAAAAAAAGACCTCAGATGCTACAGAATTGTGCTGTAAGAATTAATCCGGACAAATATTGCTGCTATGGATCAAAGATTGTCATGAATGAAAGTCTAAGACAGATTAGCCTGTTTCTCTCTGGCGTCTTTGAACAAAATATGGATCTCATACAAACCATTAAAACCCTCTCCAGGCAGATGTTGCAGATTTGCAACAGCTAAATGCTACTTAGCTAATTACTCCACATCCATATTTTAAGAGCTTTTGTTACTCAGAAGTACAACAGAAGGACTTAGTTGTGCATTTGCAACAAACAGTTTCTCTCCAGCTACCAGATAGCACTGCTGACTCACTTTCAACATGGCTGAGTCCTTAGTGTCACGGAAACAGATTTTCTAAGCACCAATTTCATGTATCACTACCAATTTCCATTATTTTGAAATCCATCCTACATAAGATGAATCACGAATGTGTATAGAAATGACACATGCCATTTAGTAGATTTTATCTTCTCTGGGTTTTTCATCAGAGGCATCTCAATTTCAATGTTGTGGATTCGCAACGTGTGCCCAAACAGGTACCAATGCTACATGCTTTATCTACTAGTTTGCCTATATTTTGAACAACAGTTTAACAGAACTGGCCTTCTCAAGAGGTTTTGAGATGTCGGTGGAGAAAAAGATTGAGAAAAAGTTGTCTCTAATTTTGTGAGAGAGATTTTTTTTTCAAATTTTGTTTTCCAAATAAAGTTAACGTTCTTATCAGATTCAGTCTTCGGTGTTAATTTACCACTCTGGGCCACTGTTGCAAATCTGCAACATCCCAGAATTCATTGCATGTGAAGGTCTCTCTAACAAAAAAAGTCTGAATTGTATATTACTAACCCATATAATCATTTTCTCCAAATATCAGATTTTTTCCTGCAACTGCAACTTAATTTGAGCCTGAGAGGGTTGAGCTTGTTTTCTAAATGACAGCCTACTTATTGCAGAAATAGCTTTAATATGTGAAGATCCTCTAATCTGACATTTAAAATGCCTCTGGCAAGAACTAAGACATGGGGAAAAAAACACTTTTACATACTAAGTTGTTTCATATTGGAATAGTTCAGAATGATATCAGACTGATAACTAATAACGTTTCTTTCCAAAAATGATCGGGGAAAAAAAATACAAGTTAGTAAGGAAATATTTCATTTTCTTGAGCATTACTTTTAGTTGTTAAATGTGATGTAAGGCTGTTTATAGGATTGATGATCTGTTGGTCTTCTTGCATTTTATTGTTGTTTTTTTTTTTAACGTTTTATTGAAAGATTTTCCTATTTGTGACAATTTGTGTTTTCTGTTCTCACCGATGTTTTAATAAGAAGAATGGACCCCAGGAAGAATAGTCATTACTTTGTTAATAACTAAAGGGAGTCCTTAAATGCAAAAATAAATAATAGTAGTTATAATAAAAAATAACTCTTTTTATTGAATCTTGAGCAAATAACCAGGCAATTAAAAATTCTGATTTTTTAATATTGAAATATAATTTAAAATATTTTGAAGTAGATATAAATGATCATGAACTACTATGCTTTGTTTTTACTTTTACGACTTATTGGCTCCACATTATCCATTACTATTTTTCTGAATGTACCATTTTATTAGATTTCACATTTTTGCCTGTATGTTACTAAACACAATACCAACAATTAAAAGTTTGAGAACTTTAGATATAAAGCCTTTGGTTATGACTGAAATAGTAGAAATCAACATAATTGTTAAAGTAGGATTATTCTTATTCTGGTATTAACTAAAGAAACTAGGGCTGCAAATAACGATTATTTTGGAAATCGATTAATCCGTTGATTATTTTTAAGATTAATCGATTAATAATATAGCCAAAGGTTCCTTAAAGAAGACTTTTTACAAAATGAAACCAGGTGAAACTAAAACTTTTTCATTTGAGGAGTTCTGGATAGAGCATATTGACAGACATTTTTTTTTTAATCTTAAATGCAAAAATTTAAGTTTATAAATTTTTTACAATCTTAGTATAATTACAGCTCTATGAGCTGCTCAGTGGAGCAGTGTGTAGTACTTTTGCCCTGCAGCGAGAGGACACTGGGTTCTCTCTGGGTACTCCAGCTTCCTCCCACAGTCCAAAAGCATGACTGGCTTCTCTAAATCCTCCTTAGGTGTGAGTTTGTGTGTGAATGGTTGTTTGTTCTGGTTGTCTCTGTGTTGTCCTGCGATGGACTGGAAACCTGTCCAGGATGGACCTCGCCTCTCACCTATAGACAGCTGGAGATAGACACCAGCACCCCTTGTGACCCCAGCTGGGATAAAGTGTAAAGGAAAATGGATGGATGCTTCGCCCTGTCAGCTAAATGTTTTAGAGTCTCTATACTCCAGTTAATCAATGATTAAATTAGTTGAATAATCGATTAAACACAATTAATCCGATTAATTGTTTCAGCCCTACTTGAAACTCATTCAGGGATGCACATGTGCAGCTGTTAGCATTGATGCTTCACAGTAAAAGGAGTCCTGGGTTTGAATCCC